ATAATAGGGGTTTGCTTGAAATTCATACAAAACGCGTTTTATTAATATAAAATGAATTACAAAGTTTATCTATGTATCATAAATCATGATACCTGTATTATTATAAAATATTTTTATATTTGATTGACGAGTTTTTTTCTCGATCAGAATTCAAGTATCTATAGTTGTTAGATGTTGCTCTGGACTTTGAGCTTAAAAGGTTGGAGATTCTCGATTCACGCTTCTCTTTTCCGTATGTTTTAAAATATCAGATTTGTATGTATCAGATTTGTATAGATTTGATTTATACGTATATTACCTACATTAATTATGAAAAATGTTCAGTGTTGRATTCTGTRAATACCACTGTTTCAGTAGTACTGAGTTAATCAATAGTTTCTTAATTTTTAAATTTCAATACAAAATGAAGAAATTTAAAATTTTTTATTTTAAGAAAATTTACATATTTTTTTAGTTGATTCGTGTCTCATTACTTGTACTTTAGTTATATTTTATTGAATTTTTTAATATGTTAAGAAAACAATTACAAAATTTTTTTTAATAAACAATTATAAATATTTATTGTTCTATATAACGGGGACAATTCTACTATAATAGTTATTATATTATTATAAAAGTATTGTTTATCTCATTCATAATTTTGTGTAGGTAGGGTGAAGGTATTCGTATATTATTTGTAAAACAATTTTTTATCTCATTAGTCATTGCATTATCACTTATACATATACTACACTTGTATATTATACAATATAGGTACCTACGTAGTATATACAGTGTCACGTCGTGTTTGTATCGGTCAGTTACGTCTTCTAACTATTCTAACTCATTTTTTACACTGATTATTACTAATGTATATTATATGTACCTAACAAAAGATTAAAAATCATCATATTTTCCTATTTTGTAAAAATTAATTGGGRAAAATTATTATCTACCTAGGTATATACTGTGAAAATCTCAGTATCTAAACATGGTAGGCCACTCTGTATATGCGCAAAGTATGCTCAAAGAACTATTTCAGGACGTGTAAGTTATATTTTATAATTGTGATACAAAATTTATTTTTGACGTCTCATATTTTATTCAACTATTCCTATTAACATCATATATTTAATTGGATCTCATATTGTCTGGTAATTTGCCTTATTACTGAATTTTTGGATGACATTTTAATAAAAAGACGTACGTCTTATATTGTCACGTGATGCCCGTATATAATTTTTTCACTGTCTTGGACTGATATTATATTATTATACTAAACATACGTTSAGGTTAGACGTAATAAATTCAGTTTTGTTATTTTTACTAGTAATAATAGTCCTCCCCTCTATGGATTCTCCCCCTCCAATCTTCCCTATCTACGTCACTCCTTCTCATAAACCTTAAAGTTTTCTTGATATATTTATTTTTTATCGTTTTTAAAAATGACAAGTTTAATTTATATGGTAATCGTTATATTAAAAGAGTTAAATATTTTGTCTGTACCCCTCTTTTTTTGAATTATTCCAATAGAACTGTACCTTCGCGTATTACGCCGTAGAGCAGGGGTTGCCTAAAATAAGCTAGTGAGCTATTTAAAAAAAAAAGTTTAAGTAACTGGTGATCGACCACAATTTATTTGGGTATATTATTAATACCTATTAATTATTATTACATGCGACTTAATAATAAATTGTTAAATGTCGTGTTGTATTCTTTTATTGCTACTCCATTGAAAAAAYTTTTTTCTTCCCTAATAGGTAAATACTTTCTTTTGTATAAAAATCGAAAGTATGTCTAAGATAATGTAATCAAACGTTATTGGTATAATTAATTTTTAATACGATCGACCAATTATGTTCCTCTAAAGATCGACCAGGCGATCCTTATTGTGACATATAGAGTATAGACCATTAAAAATACCAATAATATTTGTAGGTACGCATAATGTGCTTACCGAATTAACAAGTCCTTCAATTTATTTGTGGTGAAYGAAATGTATATTTTAGCATTTGAATGGAAATTATTGTATTTTATTTTTCAGTTGTGGACAAATGGTACATATTTGTTGATGAGCATCACGTTAAAGTTTKATCGAGACTTAACTACACGAAACGTATACTTGTGCCTTTATGAACCRCGTAAACCACCTAACGGACTGGCCTCGTTGCTGTGGAGYGTTTTCAGTGGTGCTGGCGACGACAGTGATGGTCGATGGGTGAACCAGGGTGATTTGGTTGCGATTAGATCCAATGAAATGGTAAAACTCACCGACAATTCATTGGATTCGTTGCTAAGCAGGTAAGAAACTTTAGCATATCGAGAGTACTTACCTACTGTWCTTAAAAATTAAATTAGTGTAGCTTTTTTATATACTTACCTATATTATGGCTTAATTTTTTTGATTTCATTGGATAGTAYCTATACTTGATCGAGTATTATTTTGTTTGGTTTTTAGTTTTCAACCACAGCTTTCAATTCACAATTTATTCACKACGTAATCAAATGATAATTTGATATACATTTTAACCGGAAAGAATTTTAAATGCTAAAAATATGTTCTTATTCAAATAACGCTCATGACTAGGGCTCGGATGTTGTTGCACTAAAAATGTTGT